TGATCCACCCACCTCGGCCTCCCAAAGTGCTGGGATTACAGGCTTGAGCCACCGTGCCCGGCTAAATAATTCTTAAACTTACTGAAATTTTGTATGGCCCTGACTCCTTTTCCCTTCCCAATAAATTTTAATACGGAAATTCAGAATTTATTATATTTCAGGCTGAATTTAACTTTGAGTTACCTATAAAGGAATAGTTTGCAGATAAATGTACTCCAGAATGTTTAGTATTAATATGTACTTGATGTTCCACCAGGTATTTATGGAATCCCTTGTAGAATCCCAAATGCTCAAGTAATGCTATAGTATGTAATTTCTTCCATTAAAATAAAATAAATACCCAGAGACCACAAACAAATTGTAAATATAGGATTAAAGGCATGTATTAAGATGCTATCTGGCTAAACCATCACTTGTTTTAGATATCTTCACTTTCTATACACTCCTATCAATGATACTCAATAGTTTTCTTTCCAGGATGTAATGTGGGGTGTGTGTCCAAAAGCTTTATTACTTATGTGCAGACTAAATAAAAATAAAGCTATGGCTAGTCACAGTGGTTTATGCCAGTAATCCCACCACTTAGAAGGCCAAAGTGGGAGGATCACATGAGGCCAGGAGTTTACCTGGGCAACATAGAAAGACCTTGTCTCTATTGAAAATTTAAAAAGAAATTAGCCAGCATGATAGTCCCAGCTACTTGGGGGGCTGAGGCAGAAGGATTGCTTGAGCCTAGGAGTTTGAGTTTACAGTGAACTATGATTGTGCCATAGCACTGCATAAAAGAAAATGAAAGCTGCTTAGGGATGTGGATACTCGGCTTCAAATAGGTTCACATACTAGATGACTTATTCATTTAGACACACCTGCCTCATAGCATGTTTTAAATAGTGATCTTAGTAAATTGAAGATGATTATTGTAGTGTGTGAAACATGGAATGTTAAGTTGAAGAAAAAGGGTTTATTTAAAACTACTCAAGAAAATTATTAAGGTACATTATAAGCCCATTTGTATATATGATCTGGCCTTTGCCTTTCTTTCTGATCTCATTTCATGTTTCTCTTCTCCTAGTTGATAATCTCTAGTGACGGGCCTTCTTTCTGTTCCTTTACCATGCACAGTTCATTCCCACCTGAGGATCTTAGTACTTGCAGTTCCTTCTGTCTTAAAACTCTATTACCATGGATTTCCACTATGTGGTCTCCTTCTTAACCTTCACATCTCAGCTCAGAGATCATATCCTTAAAGGTGACCCAATCACCCTATATCTAAAGTGGCTCTCTAAGCAGTAATGTTTTTGTTTTTGTTTTTGTTTTAGACAAGGTCTCACTCTGTCACCCAGGCTAGAATGCATGGTACAATCACAGCTCATTGCAACCTTGACCTCCTGGGCTCAGGCCATCCTCCCACCTCAGCCTCCTGAGTAGCTGGGGCCACAGGTGTGCACCATCACACCCAGCTAATATTTTAATTTTTTGTAGAGATGGGGTCCCACTATGTTGCCCAGGCTGATCTCAAACTTCTGGGCTTAAGCAATGCTCCTGCCTCAGCCTCCCAAAGTGCTGGAATTACAGGCATGAGCCACCATGCCCGGTGGAGTAAATCTTTATTTTTTTGAACCAGGGTCTCACTGTGTCGCCCAGGCTGGAATGTCATAGCGTTATCTTGGCTCACTGCAACCTCTGCCTCATGGCTCAAGCAATCCTCCCACCTCAGCCTCTCCAATAGCTGTGACCAAAGACACATGCTATCACACTTGGCTAATTGTTTTGTATTTTTGGTAGGGGTCTCACCATGTTGCCCAGGCTGGTCTTGAACTCCTGAGCTCAAGCAGTCCACCTGCCTGACCTTCCAAAGTGCTAGGATTACAAGCCTGAGCCACCACGCCTGGCTGTGTAAAACTTTTACCAGTTGTAATTTTATTTTTTCATGTTACTCATTATTATCTGAAATTCTTGTTTGTTCTCTCTCTCTCTCTCTCTCTCTCTCACACACACACACACACACACACACATATCCTAATGACCATGTCAGTTTTGATTTTTGTTTGCTTAGAGACAGGGTCTCACTCTGTCACCCAGGCTGGAGTGCAGTGGCATGATTATAGCTCACTGTGATCTTGAACTCCTGGGCTCCAGCAATCCTTGCTCCTCAGCTTCCTAGGAAGCTGGGACTATAGGTGAATAGATGAGATTACAGGTGTGCACCACCTTGCCCAGCTGATTTTTTAAAAAAATTTTTGTAGAGATAAATTCTCACTATGTTGCCCAGGCTGGTCTTGAACTCCTGGCCTCAAGTGATACTCCTACGTCATCCTCCCAAAGTGCTGGGATTACAGGCATGAGCCATTGTGAGTGCCTGGCCATTTCAGCTTTGTTAATTAGCATCTACAATACTGCTTGATACATATAGTAGACACTCTGTATTTATTGAGTGACTCAATATGTTTTATTACAATTACACAACTATTACTTAAGTTAAAATTTTAATTCTAGGCCAGTTGTGGTGGCACATACCTGTAATCCCAGCTACTAGGGAGGTTGAGGCACGAGAATCACTTGAACCTGGGAGGTCGAGATTGCAGTAAGTCGTGATCATGCCCACTGTACTCCAGCCTGGGTGACAGAACAAGACTCTGTCTCAAAAAAAAAAACACGAAAATTCTTTTTAATTCTAAAAGTTACATGTTCATTGCAAAAACAAATCAAGCAACTTATAAACATATGAAATATGCTATGAAAATCTTTTGTCTTTCTACCTTCCTCTCCCTGCCAGCTCCATGAAGTAACAAAAATTTTATTGGTTTCTAGACTTTAAAATCTTTTCTGTGCATATACAAATAAATAACTCTGTGTGTGTGTGTGTATGTGTGTGTGTGTGCGCATGTGCGCGCATGTGTGTGTATGTGAGCCATATTGTTTGATAGTGTACAAGGCATTTTTTCCTATAATTTAGCTTTTTCATTCAATAATATATCAATAATATCCTTCAATGTCAATACATGCAGATTTAATACTTTAAAAAATAGCTGTATAGTTTTCCACAGTGTCAGTATACAATAATGTATTTAACTATTCCTATACTTCTGGCATTTAGATTATTTCCAGGTTTTTTTTTTCTGGGTAAGGAGTGTGAGTGCCCTTTCTCTCTTGCTCTCTCAATTTCTTCCTTTTTCTTTTCTTGCTATTGCAAATCATGCTGCAATGAACATCTTTGTCTCTCAGAAGTTAGTTTTGTGTTTACATATGATGGGATAGATTTTTTAAAGTCAAAAAGCTGAGGATATTTTTGTGCATTTAAATTTTTGATAGGTACCTCAAATTGTTCCCACAATGCTAATGCTAATTTCTGTTTCCATCACTGGTACATGGATGAGGATTATCCCCTCCACCCTCAACATCATTGAGTAGTATTCATATTTTTAACATTTGCCAATACGATATGCAAAATGGAGTCTGGTGCTATTGTTGACTTTTTTTTTTTTTTTTTGAGACAGGGTCTCTCTATGTTGCCCAGGCAGGACTCAAACTCCTGGGCTTAAGTGACCCTCCTGCCTCAAGTCTCCTGAGTAGCTGGGACTGTGGGCCACTATTCGTGGCAGGTACTGTGTTATTTTAATTTCCATTGTCTAGTCAGTTGTGACTTTGAATGTCTTTTCTTTATATTTTTATGTAATATTTAATATAATTTTATATTAAATTTTATAATGTAATATAATTAATATATATTTTTATATATATACTTTTTGTGAGACAGCAATCTGACTTTGTCACCCAGGCTGGAGTGTAGTAGCATGATCTCAGCTCACTGCAACCTCCCTGACCTCCTGGGCTTAAGTGATCCTCCTGCCTCAGCCTTCCAAGTACCTGGGACTAGAGGCATGTACCGCCACACCTGGCTATTTTTTTTTTTTTTTTTTGGTAGAGACATGGTTTCACCATGTTGCCCAGGCTGGTCTTGAACTCCTGAGCTCAAGCAATCTGCTCATGTTGGCCTCTCAAAGTGCTTAGGACTTAAGGCATGAGCCATTGCACCTGGCTGAACGTCTTTCTATGTACTAATCATTTAGGCTTCATCTTTTGGAAATTGACCAAACACATTTTTAAGCTACTTTTCTACTAGATTTATCTTTTTCTTACTGAATGATAGGTACTCTTCAATATTCCTAATATCCATTATTGAAAATGTTATTATATTATTATTGTAGTTATCTTTATTGACTACACAGCAGGCTCTTTCCATGCATTATCTCATTTCCAGCTCACAAGTAGATAATGTTATCCTTATTTTAAGGTAAAGAAACGAGGCTTAGTTATGTAAAGTATTCAAGTATAGTGAGCAGGTATTC